ATTTGTCTACTTAAAAAATGAAAAACAACAATTAATTTAAAATAACTCATTTATTTTGAGTTATTTTAAAATGGATGGAATAAGATTTGTGTGTAATGATTATTATACCACTTAATATAAGGGTATAACTGAGTGGAAGTAACCCCACGGGAACCAAAGGGGCTAGAGAGAATCATGAATCAATTCTCAACCATATCAAGTGACAACGAGATTGGTAGGTATTGTCAAATTAAGCCAGCAAAAACCGAATGACCACCAAGAAATTAAGCCTCTGAGTGGAGGTGGGCAACTGGGCATGCAATAAATTCAGGTTTGGTTATTTCTCACCATGAACAAATTGCAGAACAGAGTCAAGAGTGACAGCTGCTCCCTATCCCTCCCTTTTATGCCTCTTCGTTTATGAGGAAGCACATGCTCTTATTTCAGACATGTCCAGTTCCAACCTTACACCAATGTTTAATTTCCCCTCCATCTACCATTCACTCTTACCCTACCATTTCATTTCACATATTTATCCCTCCATTTTTTTTTTCACATTAATTTAAAGAATTATGAAAAATCAAGATATCTTAACAATTAAAATGTCAGGATTTCTTATAAAATTATTTAAATACCTTTAATGAATTAATATATTAAAAAAATATTTAAAATATTTAAATAATTTTATGAAAATTTTTAATATTTTAAATATCAATACATTTTGATTTTTATTTTTGTTTTAATTAAATTTCCATTGAAAATCAAAACACATTTCAATACATTTATTCACATGACAAGACGCCCATACAGTACTAGGACTAGTCACAATCTAAAATAAGTGCCTCGTATCCCTACCTCAGCATTCTCTCTGCACAACAAATTTTTCAGTTTTGTTTTTCATTTGTTCCTGATGAAGTCGAATTATTGAACAAAGTTAGAGATCTCAACTTGGTTCGCAAATTGGGATGCGATTACAGGATAGAGAAAGAGAAAGTTCTGTATATAATGTGTCAATGATGAAAACAGAATCCATGAAATGGTGTTACAAATGTGTGATAGAATACAAATTTCAAATTAAGACAGAAACAAAATGCGCCTATTCAGGATATAATAGTAATAGAAGCTGACTTTTGAAAATGATATAGGAGGGCCAGATGAGTTGGTGTGGGCGATGGCCTGTTGGCATTAGCTAAGCCCGAGGAGAATTCCGACCACCTACCGACAGTAATTTGGCCACCTCTGCTGCCACAGCAGTCACCATTCACCATCCATCTTGAATTAACCAAGACCTAAATGGGGCCCTGTCCTGAAAATTAGGACTCTGTCTTCTCGAGTCCACCCCACCTCTTGTCACCATGCTGGCAAGGACCAAGACCAGCTTTCATTTACCCTACTCTTGGTTGTAATGATGTGGATGATCCACTGTGGACAACAGATGAACGCCTTTTGGGTGTCACTTGAGCCGAAACCAATAGGGACTACTCCGATGGTACTAGGACTGAGTAGGGTCCAGTCAACCACGGGCATGGTCAGGCACAGTACGCGTCAATTTGCATGTATTAAGACACTCCTGCGACACAGGCAAGTGGGTGCAAGTACGGATGGTGCGAGCATGTAGTCCTAAACATGTGGGTTTCACATGAGAAAAGAGAATTTTGGGGCCTTAAAGCAATGGTATATTCAATCTTTTTCCTTATCAGGATAAGGCGCAGCTGATTGTTGGTGGCATAGTTGTGGTTTAAAAAGTTGTGCAAAATGATTGCCAATGGCTGAGAACTGAGAAGCCGCTCGTAAAATCACCAAGCATAAAGTAGAATCATGAACCTGAGAAACATCGATATCCTGTGTGTTCCTGCTGCGGTCCGTTCGACCTAGGCTATAAACCTATGCGTCCTCAACCCCGGGCCAAATCATGTGACTGGTGGCCCCACAAAATACTGAACTAACCACAAGCTCACAAGTAATTTTTCTCTTTTTTTGCCAACAGGCTCAGAACTAGTTATTGTTTTTCTATTCAAAAACTTATTTTACAATCTAAAGCAATTCAAGCTATTTAATAAGACACCTATCTTATTAGAGAGGCTAAATCACAGTTGGAAGTTGGAACCTGATTCTGAGAAAAGTTACAAGTCAGATACTCCTATATCATAATTAAGAGAATTCAGCATTCCACGACAGTCGACATTCACAGGTTCCAGCCCAAAAATTGGGTTCGAATTGAAGCGTTAATCTTTTGCTTTAAATTTTAATTTGGGCCAGTTCTCGTCCAGAATTGTAAATGGATACATTTAACCCACTCGCACCGCCTGAATGATGGGAGAGGTAGTCTTGACCCATGATGATTTTCGAAATGACCATGCAGGGAAAAGGTTTTGCTCCATGAAGACACTAAAATATGCACCCCATAACCAAAATCAAGTATGAGTACAAACGAATTGAAATCTCATTGATGGAAAAACATATAACCATCAAAAGGCAACCAAGTTTATAGAACATAACATAAAGGAGATTCCAAACAAATATAATATCAGGAAGAACAAAAAATTTCCAGTCAAAGGCTGACTCCTACTTCTAATAACCAAACTCTGCCCATAAATGTTGAAAAATCCCCTCAGCAGCAAAATGCAAGCATCTACTCGAATGCATCATCATCGTCATCTGGGAGAGGCTGAGCTGCAGCTGCTGCAAGCTCTTGTTCATGCCTACAAGACAACCAATAACACCAGAATTAGCCAAGAAAAAGGGATAATTTTCCATTTTGACAATTTCCAAAAAGGAGAGAATGGCCCAAACCAATCAAGCCATATGGGATGGCCAAGAAAAAGGGAAAAAAAAAGGCATCTGGAAGGAAAAATAAAAAAAAGTGGAAAAGGTATGTTGAAAAAGATCTTACTGGTGTTGAGCAGCCAAGTCAATTTGCACTTCAGGAGGAGCAAGAGCAGGAGACTCCACGAAATGAAGGTTGGGATCCCTAAAATAACCAAAGCGACCATTAGGATTGAAGTCTTACCAGTTATGTAGAGAACTAGTCAACATATTAGTATGTTCCATTACCCTGCAAGTTTCCTAGCAAGATACAAGAAAGGCTTCTCAAAATTGTAGTTGCTCTTGGCAGATATCTCATAGTATTGCAGATTCTTCTTCCTGTGAAACGTAACCTGCTTTGCCTTAACCTGCCTGTTCTTCACATCAACCTTGTTGCCACAGAGAACAATCGGAATATTCTCACAAACCCTACAATTGAACAAAAAATATCAGAATTAAAAGTAACAGAATAAACATGAGAAACCAAGAACGAAAAAAAGCAGATAAAAGGCATTTGAAGAGAAAATTTTGAAAATTCTACTTAACACACCTGCATAGATCACGATGCCACGTGGGAACATTCTTGTATGTCAAACGAGCAGTGACATCAAACATAATAATGGCACACTGCCCATGAATGCTGCATGATACAAACAAGACATAGATAAGTAACATTTGCAGTCCTGAAGCAGGAAAAAAGGCATAAAGAGCAAAGAACTACACAAACCAAATGCAGTAACACAACCATGTCTTTTTGTTGATATTAACCCCTCCCTACATCCTTCTTCCCTGACATCTTTTAAAATTGATTGGCAGTGGGTATGGATTGATAATTTATAGTGTAATGTTGGAAGTTCAAGGGGCAGGCTGGTTAATATACAACTTAAGGGATACTTCATAGAACAAAGCATGATAAGGGCATGCAAACGGAATTATTTATATCATGTTATAGATGAATCAAACTCCAAAAAATAGACAGGACGAAATAACCAACCAGTAACAACTGATTTGATAGATGCTGGCAAGTCTAATAAGCAAATCATAAGCATTAAAATAAACAAGATTCCAGAAATTATTTACATTTATAAACAGAACTCTTCACTTACTAGTAACCATCTCTAAGACCACCAAACTTCTCCTGTCCAGCAGTATCCCAGCAGTAGAAACGAAGTTTCCCACAATTGGTGAAGAAATCCAATGGGTGAACCTCCACACCAATGGTTGCTGGTACAATAAAAATGACAGAACAAGTAAATACATAGAATACCTAAAAGATAATTCAAAGCAAAACATACAGGATTTAATTGAGATTTTCCAAGCACTTACGCTCATATTTCTTCTCAAATTCACCAGTCAAATGCCTCTTCACGAATGTTGTCTTTCCTGCACCACCCCAAAGACAATTCAGCTTTGCAAAATGAATTTCAGGGACCAGTAGCAAAATTTATGTCCCTGGACATTATTGTTTTCCGCAGTCAATACACCCAAAAGTTACAACCAAAACCCCCATTTGCACCCTAACTTGGTCGGTAATTGGGGTTCCGCGTTTCAAATTATAAAGAGTGTTGCCAGTTGTTGACCACAAAAAATGCAAATAGGGGGTTTGGCCAAGTTCTAAACCACAACAATTATATGATTTGTAGAAACAACCATTGCGCCAACATCATCAGAGAAATAGATACGATCCAACCCCAACTAATCTTATTAGGACCAGTAACGGAAAGCCAAAAATCCAATCATCACAATTCATTAGAATCAAAATGTCTAAAATTTCCAAAAATAAATATAAACCCTAACGTACGAACCAGAACCGCGAAATCTAAAAGTGATGCATTACCTGTGCCACCATCACCGACAATCACGAGCTTGAAGCTCGGGTAATCAACAGTCTGTTGATTCGGCAAAGCCTACACCACCACAAAAAAAAAAAAAAAAGAATTCAAGATCTACCGCTTTAAAACCCCAGATAGGAAAAGTTCAACAATGAAGAAAAACAAAAAAGAGAGAGAGAGATCGAGAAATCCACCATCGAAGATCAAGAGCGAGCAGCGGCGGCGGCGTGCGGAAATGCTAGTCGGTGTTGCAGAAAAACGAAGGGCAGTCCTGGTATAGACGGCGAGGGCGAAGGCTTACATAGGCTAGGGCTTATGAAGGCTTGATGAGGTTGGCTTTAAATTGACGCGGGCCTGAGGCTCGGCTTTAAGTTGACGCTATACGCTCCACCGTACGTTTTGATTTCTCGTTCTTCTCGAATCATCTAGAAAGGTTAAACCTCAATTTAGTCCCTCAACTATTGTACCATCCTCCAACTTTACACTTGAACTTAAAAAATTCTTGATTTAGTCTCTGAAATTTGAAAATTTAGACCCCTTTATTATCCCTTTATTAAAATTCTGCTAACATAGTATCACATTCTGTTAACTTATATTATTAATTTTCAAATAATATGTAGAAATGAAGTGGAAATAAAAAAGCTAACATAGCAATTATTCAGCTTATGTGAATATTATGTAAAAAATTAATTATTTACGTCAACCTAAAAAAAAAAAAATTGTCCACAATAGCAATTTTTTTTTTTTTTTTGCACAGCAAAAGGATTTTTATTTCATGGAGTACAAGGAGTACCCCTGCCCTTAATACAAATTACAATAATTGAGAAACCCAACAGCTTAGTGTTCTGACCCTATCGGAACCTTTTAGCTGCAAGCTGAGGTTCAGAAAGGTTCAGTCATGAATTAGTACTTGCAGAACTTTTTGCCCATGAAAGGCCGAATTAAATCTTCCGTTTAGCTTTTAAGCACAACACGGGCTCCAACATCCATTCGTACATGTTAAAGGAGTATCCATTTGCTTTACCTTTGATCCAGTTGAAGGTTCTGAGTTGAACAATTTCGAATATTCTATTGACTTCATGCTCAGAGTTTCTAAAAATCTTTTCATTTCTTGCCATCCATATAGACCATAAAAATGCCAACTAGACCACATCCCACCTTGCTCTCACCGATGATTCTTTAAAGAAAGGTTGGTGTTGCTCGAAAGTTTCTTGGCATGTATTAGGCGTAACTGTTGCTATCCTCCACCATTGCAAACATTTATGCCACACCGAGCAAGTAACTCTGTAGTGAATAAACAGGTGATTGCTATCTTCTGTGCTTTCCCCGCACAATCCACATAGCACTTGGTTAGGATCAGTTATAATGCCCCTTCTAAATAAGTTGATTTTAGTGGGAATTCTGTCTTGTAAGGCTTGCCAAGTGAATGCACTGACCTTTGTTGGG